ACATATATGGAAAAATACTTTTTATTTATATATATAATGCGTGTATATGCAATGTGAAAAGCTGGATGCTGACATCACCTGAACGGCAGCCCCAGAGTCCCACAACTGCCTCAGCCCACTCCAATCCTTCAGTTTGCACCAGCAACACAATGGCCAGCAATAGAACCTTACATGTTTCAGAGCGGCTGGGGTTTGGTCTTAAAATTGAAATCCCGAACTAAACAGTATAATAAATATATATATATATATATTTATACATATATATAGGTATCCACTGCCTAGAAGCCGGCCTTAACCTGGACGCCTCAAGCCAAGCAACTCTAGGCGCATCAAGAATGAGAAGTCTGCGGAGGATCTCACGGAGCTTTTTGTCAGGCATGGGCATGGCGAACCGAGTGGTCCCTCAAGACCCGGCCAATGTTCGCTATAGGCATTGCTGAGCCAATATTATAGTTGGAATGGCATTTGTTTCGGAGTGTTGCTCAATCTCCTCCACCATGATTTCAGTGGATAATACCTAAATGATTTAAAATGATTGTATATTATATAATATACTTGAAGTAATGAATCCAACGGTATGATATCCCAGCATCCCCCTGACAAGCTGGCAATAGCAAGGGGTAGGGGTAGGTACCTGATTTCTTCTTGATCTGGGTGTGGCGGAGCCTCCAAGCAAAGATCATCGGCAACGGACCTGGCACCAAGTTTTTTGGCCCCAGATTCTTTCTCGTATCACTGGAATGAAATGGGCTGTTTGACAGGTTAAATGCTTTCGTTCGACATGCATGCAAACTTGATTCAAAAGAACAGCTCAGTCCACAACATGGAAAGATAAACTTGGATATACAGTTGTGATGAAAGTAGATGGATATGTTGCATGCAAAACTGCTTTCTGTAGCTACAGAATGGATGGGTGGATGCAGTTGCACATGTTGCCACACTTAGCGGGTCCACAATTTTCCCTTGTCACTGGCGCAGCAAAGTCTTGTATTGTGCGGTTAGGCAGGCTGATTCCCCTAGCCCTGGACAACAGAACTTAGCACGACACTTGTATGATATGGCAGCTGGACAGGCCGCACATGCTTGGGCAACAAAATTATCAACCAGTTCATGCAGGGGTTTGACGCAGGAATAAGATTCCAGGGTCCCAATGACATGTGGTTTCCAGCCACCCAAAAACCCAAATATGCTCATGTTTGCACGAGCGCCGCTGGCACAGGTGGCGATGAAGAGCTTTTGCGTCATGAAGCCATGGACGAGATACCTGAGGACGGGCACAATGGATTTTCAGGTTTGATAATCGAGAAGGGTCACCCAGAAACCACACCAAATAAAAGTTTTGGATGTTTCAGCCTCAAAGTCTTGAAGCAACTGTCTATATGATGGATCCATATCTACATGCTTTGCCCTAACATATGGGGACATGTTCATATCTACATAAATGTATGTCTGGGGCCATCCTCTTAACAAAAGCATTCATGAGAACTCCTAGAGGAAATTGAACCGAGTTTCCGGGACACACGTCCTTAAAGCTCAGGCTAGCTTAGCTCACTGTGCTTCTGTTTTCGTGCATTTGCTGGTTCCTGCTGCTCCCTTTCCCCTCCTCCGCAGCCCACGCTGAGCGGGCTCAACCAAGACCCCAGCACCATTGCCACCCTGAAGCGGTCTGGCAACTGCTGCCGATGTGCCACGGAACCCTTCCTTGCGACAAGTCTTGCAGCCCCCAAAAATTCACCGACAGGTCTTGCAATCATACACCTGGTTTGGTAAGATTTCATAAACCCACCTCTTGCCATCCTGAATTCGGTTCTGATACACCTTTGCCTCTGTGTTGGCAACCTTTGGGGACTTAGACCTTGCTTTGTGGGCGGGCTTTGCTTTGGCCTTTGCCATGGCCTTACTCTTTGGTTCAGCCTTGGCTGGGGGCTTCCTAGATTTGTTTGACTCTGTGCTGGCAGGTGCTTCTTCCCCAAGCTGCTCAGGGGTACAGGATGCCTGAGATGTGGATTTCCAAATGTTTCGCCTGCGTTCCTTTTTCCCTTTGGAAGTTACATTTTTGGTGTGGTCTTCTTGGCCTTTCGAGTCTTGGATTCCTTACCCTTTGTCTTGTTCTTTCCAGGTTTCCTTCCCCTTTTCAAACTCTTGCGCTGGCTTGTGCGCAAGCCATTCTGCAGGCCAGGTGTGACAGCACCTGATGGTTCCTTTGCCTTCAGGGTCCCATGAAATTTGGTGGAAAGGTTTCGTCATGTCAATGTTTTATTTAAGGTGATAAAACTTTATGTATAACTAATGAAATAAATCAATATAATATAATATATATATATATATATATTATATTATTCCATCTAAAGCCTGATCCGTGGTCTTCGTGGTCTCTGTGGTCTTCGAAGCTGGCATGGGCAAAGTATCCACCTGGCAGCCACATGCGGTAGCAAATGGCAGAAGAAGATAGCACGTGATAGTGCCGTCTAAGAAAAAGAGAATGTACAATGTACATAACGGTAAATTATATTGTTTCGTCATATTTTGTCACATGGTGGTGCGTCGTTGCATGATGTGAGAAAAAGGCCTGGCTCGGGTCTACAGTAGGCGGTGCAGGGAGAGCAGGTTGAGCTGACTTACCTGGGGTACACCAACACCAAGACATATACTCAACACCAATGAGAATGCATAGTTTAACACTTATTATTGAAAGTGCCGTGGTTGCAACCAAACTACTTCTCTTGCGTGTCAGGCCCGTAGGTGTGACTCCTGGCCCAGGTGCCAAGAGACGCATGGTAAAACATTTGAGAGCCCAACAGCATCAAATACCAAAGGCATTGGCATGTACTGCCCAATGGCAGGATAACAGGATAAAGGGAAAAACTGAGAATAACACTGAACATTCTTGGGCGTATCGGACTCGAACTCTTGAATCTGCATCAGCATGTCATGAAGTTCCTTCTCCTGGTCCGGGGTCATCCCCACGTCGGCGCATACAGCTTTCATCTCCTCATAGAGTGGTGAGGCTCCAACCTTTCCAGGCACATGTCCCGAAGGGGAAGGCTCAGGTGAAGGACTATTGGAATCCCCGGCATTGGTATACTGATCATCGTCCTGTGCGTCAACGTCACCCCCCCAATCCGACCAAGTGTGCAACTGCAAACTCCACATCTTGCGGTACTTGGCAATTTTGTCAAAAAGATCAGAAAAGAAACCCCGGTGTTTGAAAACATAAAAATGGTAACGAGGTTATACTTGGAAAATAGGGTTGGTTGGTATGAGCATTTGACATGAACCAGATGTTTCCCAAACTTTCCCAAACCAGTCCCGGGGTCGCTGCCCTCTCTTAGCCGCGTCCCGCTGTCTGCGGAAGGAGAAAGTGTAGAGCCTCCTTAAGTCCCAAGCGTTGATGTAGGTCTCCCGCTTCCTGATGGTGGGCTCGTGCTTCACCATCTTGGAAGAATTCTTTCACCTAAATGAAACCAAAATAGGGCATGTTTATGGGAAGACTTGATGGACATGTGTGTGTAGTCTGCGGGAATGTCTAAGAAGAAGGGGTGCCCCAAAAGTTGAAATTTGGGTTTATTCCCCACCTGCCAGGTGAGGGTTGTTAGATTTTATCACAGTTTTTCTCCTCCTCCGCCTCCTCCTCCTCATCCTCCACCTCCTTCTTCTCCTCCTCCTCCCTCTCCTCCAGCTTCTCCTCCACCACCTTTGCATCCACTCCCAAGTTCACTTCCGCCTTGCCAACTCTTCGCCAAGCTCTTCGCCAACTTCCGCACGCAGTGGGCACTGCTGACCTCAACTGCAAGGGTCTGAGCGCACTGGGCACCGCTGGGCCTCAACCTGGGACCTTCCGAGCTCAGTGAGCACCGCTGGACCTCAACCTGGGACCGTCCGAGCTCAGTGAGCACCGCTGGACCTCAACGGCCAGATAGAATGCCAGAAGATATGCCAGATAGAACGCCAGATAGAATGTCAGAAAGAATGCCAGAAGATATACCAGATAATATGCTAGAAGATATGCCAGATAGAATGCCAGAAGATATGCCAGATAGAATGCCAGAAGGTATGCCAGATAGAATGTCAGATAGAATGCCAGAAGGTATGCCAGATAAAGTGCCAGAATGTTTGCCAGATAGAACGCCAGAAGATTTGCCAGATAGAATGCCAGATAGAATGTCAGAAGATATGCCAGAAGATATGCCAGATAGAGAACCAGAAGATATGCCAGAACATATGCCAGAAGATATGCCAGGTAGAATGTCAGATAGAGTGCAAGAAGATATGCCAGAACATATTGCAGAAGATATGCGAGGTAGAATGCCAGAAGATATGCCAGATAGAATGCCAGAAGATATGCCAGATAAAATGCCAGAAGATATGTCAGATAGAATGCCAGAAGATTTGCCAGTAACAAAACGTATTGATGTCATGTTGGGGATAACTCGAAACAAAGTATTTTTTTAAGATTTGGGCCCCCCCTTTGTTGGATACATATCCCCATATATACAATAATTCCATTATTATTCAAAGCAATGCAGCAGCGGAGGGCGCCTCCGTCTGAAGTGTGGGAACTTCAATGAAGGCCCCTTCAAAGAAGTCAAGCATGACATTCAATGCGCAAGCGTTCATGGAGACAGCCTTTGTACAGACCGGATGTCTGGGGATAATCATGCCATCTACTTCCTCAGACTCCACCTCTTCTGGGGCGTCCAGGCTGCTTTCTGGCCACTGAACCCAATCAAGACCCTTCCTGAATCTGGCCCTGATAATGGTCTCTGCTTCCCATAACGCTGCTAACTCACCCGAAACATCTGAAGTCGCCATGGGGCCAGTCAAACCCAAAAGCGGCTGCTTAAGTCAAAATCCTACGGGGATCATGCTAAAATTCAGGTATGAAGCGCTGCCTCAACCCATCAATCTTGCCAGTGTGACCATGCTGCTCCCACCGCAGGATCCAATGTCTTCCTGAGCTGGAGGACTGTGTGGTTGGATGTGCTAGAGTGGTGGAAGGCATGGCCAGGATTCACGTGCTTCGATATGAAGATAAAGCAGGAATGCAAGGCTCAAGGTCACCAGTCCTGCAGACATAGCATCATTATCTTCCAATGCCAAATGACAATTTTGGTGTGGCTAAAAAAAGAAGGTATTTCTCCAAATGACGGATGATCGAAAATACTCAAGAATTGACCCTTCAAAGGTATTTTCGAGCATCGCCCATCGTGGGAAATACCCATGAAGATTCCCCAACAGATAGATTATATATAGTTCGTTATATATCATTTAAATACATATATATTGTTGGAATTGAAATGTGCGGGCAGGACGAAATCCTACATAGTGGCTAGCCATGGAAATTACCCTCTGCCAACATCACATCAACAATTGAAGGCTGCCCCTCCTGACCCTCAGGAACGCAGCTTCAGCTGAAGGGCCATGGGGTGCGGCAGTTGATGGCAACTGCTGGGCGCATTAGATGTGGAAAAACTCAAGAGATACCCCATGTATTTTGGAATTATATTACTTGATTCAACATACATGCCCCCGTTTACCAATATAGATTGTTGGGGCATAGCTGGTGTTACAAGGAAATATGACAGTATAGCAAGGGATGTTTGGATCTACCATCGTAACATCTATATGTATATCGCTGGTGCAGTATAGTAAATCTTCTTTACTAAACATGAAACCTTCATCCTATATTTGTATGTTGGATCCCTGTGATCAGACACCACGGCGGTTCATAGGGCCAATCTTCATGTTGCTGCCAAGATCTCTGAAAACTGAAGCGCATGAAAAAAACTGAGCTGGCTCACCTGAGGGCTGGAAAGTCAAAGTGCCCCATTTATAAGGGAAGCTGCCGGTTATTTCTTTGAAATCACCAAGGTGGCAAAGAAAATAGGAACCTCACCAAAGTTGCATATTAAAAAGGGGCACTGTGGCGGTCCAGGGGGATCATCTTAATATACTTCTGCTAGTTAATTAATTCCTACGTCATAATAGTTTTACGAGTGGTCCATGCTGCACTAAGAAAAAGAAACATAATTTCTAATCTCATACGGACACCTGATGAGTTGGGACTTGTGCAGGGGGGGTCCGAAGCATGATGAGATAGGACTTGTCCACCCCAGGGTATCTTTCACAAGTCCTAAGTCACTGGTGCTAATTAAATTAATTAAAATAATTGAGTTAGTTAAATTCATTGAATCAATTGAATTAAATCAAAATACAGAAAACGGAGGAGATCAAAGCAACAAAATAGTACCTGAAGGTCCCTCGATATATATATAACATATTTATTGGAATTTACGCAATTTAGAGAAATAATTCCTTCTCTTTTCTGTTTAGCTTCAAAGGTCTCCAGATCAATCCATGTGCCGAGTTGCTGTCCACATCAGAAATATGAGCAAGTGAAGGGCCCCACGCTCCATCGACGCTTCAACAATGGCGTACAGGCTTATAGGATCGGTTTTCGCCTTTTTTGAAGGGCCGCAGTTTTATAGGCATCTTTTCACCCCTTCACAGAAAGGCCCTCAGTCCACGTGCGCTGTGTCCAGGATCCCAATGACATTGCCATTAGCTTGGAAGCAGCTAGATTGGCCTTTCAGGCACCTTGGCGTGGAGACCCAAAAGTTTTACTTGTCGGGAAAAGTCGCATACCCATACAAGAAAGATCCAGAAAAACTATCTTGAACATTGCAACGGTTCATCCATTGCGCACTGGCTGCTTGTCGGAAGGAAAATGTGGATGCCATTGCGCTCGCTGCACCAGATCTAGACTTTTTATACTTGGTCGACGCTTGGTAAAGTGGCGGCGTGAGTCAAAAACTCAAGGCAAAATTGCCTTTCAAGTGGTTCTGCATGAGAGTGTGGATTCTTAGGTCTCCTTCTCGAGGTATAAATATTGGCTCAGCCAGAGGTGTTTTATTGAGCGTAAGGGGGCAAGTGTGTAGTTAGGGAACAATCCTCGTATGACTATTGTAGGATAGTGATTTCTACTTGCATTTGATTGCTTACAATGGACCGAGGACTTTTTGCAACGCCATTCCTCCATTCAAGTCTTGACGTTGTTTCCTCGTTTATGCAGCCCCAGCGTTGCATATGCTTTCAAGCAGAAGAGCAAGGCCTGTCAAAAGCCACTTGGAACATCCTGCTCATACTCTACAACACTCTACACACACACATATATTATATTTATATATATATATATATCATATAATATATATATATCATATCTCTAAACATCTTTACATCCTCCATTGTTTACGGAGTGTTCTTCTCACTCATCCCTTCTGAGCTTCTGAGCCTGCGCATCGCATGTATACAGTGCACCATGTCGCTTATTTGAAAGCATTGCCCGTGAAACGCTCCCCAGCAACGACCATGCCGAACGTGACCCCAAACAAAGCTTGCGCAGCAGGTGGATTGGTTTATGACTGGATCCCAAGAGAAGGAAGAGACGCCACCAAAAAAGAAGATGCTCTTGCACCTTGGACAGCTGCGGGTTTCCAAAGTTCCCCGGAAAGAGTTCTGTAACATGCCCTAATCTTCCCTGGGAAGTTCCCGAATTTTTGAATTTAAATATGTTGAAAGATGTGGTCAGGTGATGCTGGGTTGTTCCCTGGAGTGTCCACTGGTCTGCTCTTAGCCTTTCACTGCTTGGATTCATCGGGACGACGCAACTTAAGGTGAATGGATTGCGTTGCAATAATGTTGCAATCATATTTTGAGCCGAGGCATCCAAACGGCATCTCCACAATCGCGGATTTGCACCCAGAGGAGTTTGACAACGCAAAGGCCGTGGGTTGGGAATGCGACCTACAATTGAAATGCTCCAAGAGAGAGTACTTTCAACCAGATCTGAACTGAGAATCTGAACTGCCAAGATCGCTCCATGAAGTATTGCGAGTCCATGTTTGTAGGCAGCGACATAACCAGACATGTCCAAGATCGTATTCAATATGTAGCATATTTAAGGGCTTACGCCCAACAGGCGGCCGGCCAGGGGCCCACTTGAGGGTAAAGGATCACAAATAGATTCCCTAGAAGTCTAAAGACGAAGTTTAGCCAGGACGTTTGTGAAAGACGAAGTTTACCTCAGTCGTTCACGTTCACGGCTGATCACGCCTGATCACGCCTGATCACGCTTGATCACGCTTGGTAGTGGTCAAACGCTTATGTTTTCTTACATGTTCTACTGACAGCAGCGCGCACGGGTTTCTTCCAAAAAAGGGATTTAGCATACTGAAAGCCATTGAGCGGTTATCTCACGGTTGTCTCACGGATGTCTCACGGTTGTCTCACGGGTATACTTGGTCTTTCTTTAGGCACACTTGGTTTTTGGGTTGTGGCTCACGGTTAGCTCACGGTTGTCTGGGAGTCTACCTGAAACTGTTCAGCACGTCTACCAACATCCTAAGCATATGAAATAGAGATGCCACAATTATCAGGGTTCCAATTTGCTCTACGAAACAGGGGTGAGGTATGATACCTCAAGACTTGAAAACAGGCTTTAATTTGTAGAATCCAATGATCCTAGAGCCCCTACATTGGTAGAATTGGTGTCCTGATTTGCAGTGGAAAAATTAGGAACCCACACCTATGTGTTTCGTAGTGATTCCATTTTGGATGCAATTTTGGCTGTTTGTCCCCTTGATAAATTTCCATGGGGGTTTTGTAGGATAGGTGGAGTATGCTATTTGTAGGATTGATGGGCCCCAGAGTTTTGTAGGATGTGTGAAATTGTATCCGGGTGGAAACTTCCGCTACAGAATGGTAGGCTTTGGATGGCTTTGGGACCTTAATGTAGGCAAAATGTTAGTCGATTTTCAGCTCGCCCTGTGCAGTCAGGGCAAGTCATTTTGTAGCTATGTAGTTTTTGGGAGGGCGCGTTTGAAGTTACATTGTTGGGCTGTGAAACCATTTTGTAGCTGCTCTTTTTGGGATAACATTTTGGGCAGAAGAGTCCAAAAGAGGTTGGAACATACGCTTTTTATGCAGAGCCTTTGAAGAGGACAAAATGTGAGACATATCTGGTTTCTAAATCAAACAGTTGAATTTTAAGCTGTACACTTTAGATCCTTTTTGTTGCCCCATAGCTGATTGCAGTTCAAGCTTACGCACTTCTACTAGGTTCCTACTCTTTTGTCCAATACTAGTCGAATTATATACTTTCAACCGCAAAGCACAGATTCAATGTGTGATTGGCTCTTTGCAGAGGTGATTCTTCGAACCCCCTTTGAAGCAGCCTCTTTCTAGAGCAGATCTCATCCTAGTTTCCCGGATAAACTTTGTCACGCGCGTTGCATTTTGTAGTAACACAGTCGTGCACAAGCATTTCGTAGAGCCCACTGCGTCTCCCTCCAGAAGAGCACAAACAAAGTTTGACAAGAAACTTTTATGGAGAGTTTTTGAAGTGGGACAGATTTGGTTTCTAAATCAACCAATTGAAATTTAAGCTGTGCAGTTGCTCTGGCAATCTCTTGAAAGGTTGATTTTTGGAAATCCATGGAAATCCCAAGGTTGAATTTAGTTGTACTCGGCTGAGTTCAATTCAAAAAAGTACTTGTTTAAAAAACACATGTTTGGATGTTTAACCTGTATTTCTTATATTTTGTTTTTGGACGAACCTTTGGTCTTTATAGACTGTATTTGTTGTTGGTCGGTATATCTCTAAGTGTGAAAAGTGTTTCCGGGTTTTCCACTCAGACTGCCATCAAATCTAAAGGAGAATAGCTAGACAACAACTAAGATTCACTGAAGCATGACGCATGTACAACTTGAAAAATGGATGGGATTACAGGAGCGGCCATGGATGGAAACAAATGAGCAGCTACAAAATGACCTTCAAAAAATACATGTTATCCTGTTTGGTTTTTTGGGTTGAGTTTTGCCGTTGAGCATATCATTTTGTAGCAAACATGTTGGTGCACCCAGACCTTGTTTTTCAATTTGTAGTCGTCACTTTTTGACCCTGGTTTTCGTCTTGTAGCAATCCAGGCTAAGGGCTGCGTTCTGTAACAATAAAATGGGGGAGCACAAGGGTTCCCCCTATATGTCAAGCCGGATTGAATGGTCATATTTTATAGAGATGGTTGGTCCAAGATTTTGGTAAACACTCTGCACGAGTGAGCGGCCATTCAGATCTTTCAGGCGCCACGCCGAACATTATGTGGCCCAGAGTCTACTACAAAAAGATTGTGGGGGGATCCCTGAATTCTTAACATGTGTTTTTCCTCTACAAGATGATTTTCAACTCGGTCCGAAAGACCCAAGAATTGAAGTTCATTCTGTGCCCGGCGTCCATTTTTTTTGTAGAATCGGTACGACCCCTAGAAACGTAGAAACTCAACCACCTACATACCAAAATCATTTTGTAGACTCCAGGTATTGGAACCGATGGTTTGTAGCTATAAACGGGCGGCCCACCCTACCCCCCTAAATTCCAACCCCAATCCAGCAGGGATTTAGCATGCACTGAAACAGAAGGTATTGGCTCACGGTTATCTCACGGTTATCTCACGGTTGTCTCACGGTTGTCTCACGGGTATACTTGGTCTTTCTTTAGGTACACTTGGTTTTTGGGTTGTGGCTCACGGTTAGCTCACGGTTGTCTGGGAGTCTACCTGAAACTGTTCAGCACGTCTACCAACATCCTAAGCATATGAAATAGAGATGCCACAATTATCAGGGTTCCAATTTGCTCTACGAAACAGGGGTGAGGTATGATACCTCAAGACTTGAAAACAGGCTTTAATTTGTAGAATCCAATGATCCTAGAGCCCCTACATTGGTAGAATTGGTGTCCTGATTTGCAGTGGAAAAATTAGGAACCCACACCTATGTGTTTCGTAGTGATTCCATTTTGGATGCAATTTTGGCTGTTTGTCCCCTTGATAAATTTCCATGGGGGTTTTGTAGGATAGGTGGAGTATGCTATTTGTAGGATTGATGGGCCCCAGAGTTTTGTAGGATGTGTGAAATTGTATCCGGGTGGAAACTTCCGCTACAGAATGGTAGGCTTTGGATGGCTTTGGGACCTTAATGTAGGCAAAATGTTAGTCGATTTTCAGCTCGCCCTGTGCAGTCAGGGCAAGTCATTTTGTAGCCATGTAGTTTTTGGGAGGGCGTGTTTGAAGTTACATTGTTGGGCTGTGAAACCATTTTGTAGCTGCTCTTTTTGGGATAACATTTTGGGCAGAAGAGTCCAAAAGAGGTTGGAACATACGCTTTTTATGCAGAGCCTTTGAAGAGGACAAAATGTGAGACATATCTGGTTTCTAAATCAAACAGTTGAATTTTAAGCTGTACACTTTAGATCCTTTTTGTTGCCCCATAGCTGATTGCAGTTCAAGCTTACGCACTTCTACTAGGTTCCTACTCTTTTGTCCAATACTAGTCGAATTACTTTCAACCGCAAAGCACAGATTCAATGTGTGATTGGCTCTTTGCAGAGGTGATTCTTCGAACCCCCTTTGAAGCAGCCTCTTTCTAGAGCAGATCTCATCCTAGTTTCCCGGATAAACTTTGTCACGCGCGTTGCATTTTGTAGTAACACAGTCGTGCACAAGCATTTCGTAGAGCCCACTACGTCCCCCTCCAGAAGAGCACAAACAAAGTTTGACAAGAAACTTTTATGGAGAGTTTTTGAAGTGGGACAGATTTGGTTTCTAAATCAACCAATTGAAATTTAAGCTGTGCAGTTGCTCTGGCAATCTCTTGAAAGGTTGATTTTTGGAAATCCATGGAAATCCCAAGGTTGAATTTAGTTGTACTCGGCTGAGTTCAATTCAAAAAAGTACTTGTTTAAAAAACACATGTTTGGATGTTTAAACTGTATTTCTTATATTTTGTTTTTGGACGAACCTTTGGTCTTTATAGACTGTATTTGTTGTTGGTCGGTATATCTCTAAGTGTGAAAAGTGTTTCCGGGTTTTCCACTCAGACTGCCATCAAATCTAAAGGAGAATAGCTAGACAACAACTAAGATTCACTGAAGCATGACGCATGTACAACTTGAAAAATGGATGGGATTACAGGAGCGGCCATGGATGGAAAAAAATGAGCAGCTACAAAATGACCTTCAAAAAATACATGTTATCCTGTTTGGTTTTTTGGGTTGAGTTTTGCCGTTGGGCATATCATTTTGCAGCAAACATGTTGGTGCACCCAGACCTTGTTTTTCAATTTGTAGTCGTCACTTTTTGACCCTGGTTTTCGTCTTGTAGCAATCCAGGCTAAGGGCTGCGTTCTGTAACAATAAAATGGGGGAGCACAAGGGTTCCCCCTATATGTCAAGCCGGATTGAATGGTCATATTTTATAGAGATGGTTGGTCCAAGATTTTGGTAAACACTCTGCACGAGTGAGCGGCCATTCAGATCTTTCAGGCGCCACGCCGAACATTATGTGGCCCAGAGTCTACTACAAAAAGATTATGGGGGGATCCCTGAATTCTTAACATGTGTTTTTCCTCTACAAGATGATTTTCAACTCGGTCCGAAAGACCCAAGAATTGAAGTTCATTCTGTGCCCGGCGTCCATTTTTTTGTAGAATCGGTACGACCCCTAGAAACGTAGAAACTCAACCACCTACATACCAAAATCATTTTGTAGACTCCAGGTATTGGAACCGATGGTTTGTAGCTATAAACGGGCGGCCCACCCTACCCCCCTAAATTCCAACCCCGGTCCAAAAATTGAGTTCCTCCATCAGTGGATCATTGGGGTAAACTGCAAATTCATGCAAATTCACTAGCTACTTTTGAGCAAACCAGCCAGCTGGCAAAAAATCACATGTGGTGGGTTCAACTCAGTCGTTGGGTGAAAGACCAAGCTAAACTCAGTCTTGGACGCCTAGGCGATTATAAAGAAGAATTGAGGGAAGATCGAAAAAATGGGAAAGCCAAGAAAAAATGGGAAAGTGTTTGTAGGGTCGGCGGTAGTAGTAGTAGTAGTAGTAGTTGTTGTTGTTGTTGTTGTTGTTGTTGTAGTTGTAGTTGTAGTTGTAGTCGTAGTCGTAGTCGTAGTCGTAGTCGTAGTTGTAGTAGTAGTAGTAGTAGTAGTAGTAGTTGTTGTTGTAGTAGTTGTAGTCGTAGTCGTAGTCGTAGTCGTAGTTGTAGTAGTAGTAGTAGTTGTTGTTGTTGTTGTTTTTTGTTGTTGTTTGTTTTTTTGTTGTTGTTGTTGTTGTCGTTGTCGTTGTCGTTGTTGTTGTTGTTGTTGTTGTTGTTGTTGTTGTTGTTGTTGTGGTTGTGGACCATCCGCAAGGTCTGTAGTATGTAGTAGGCGCATCTTGGGGCGAGGTTGGGCCAGCTTAGGGGCTATGTTGGCCCGTCTTCGCGCTATGTAGGCCCACTATGTAGGCCCATCTTGGGGCTATGTGGGCCCAGCTTGCGGCCCATGTTGGGCCATCTGGGGGCTATGTTGAGCCAGCTTCCGCGCCTTTTGGGGCTTATGTTGGGCCATGTTGACCCATCTTGATCCACAAGATCGAAAAAATGGGGAAGCCACAAAACACTGTAAATTGCGGTATATTTGTAGGGCCGGCGGCAGGGGGGGAAGCAGCTCCTACAGAGAGGAGAGAACCATCGGGCCCCTGGCCGGATTTAAGCGCTTACGCGCGACAGCCGGCCAGGGGCCCAACTATGCTGGCCCATCTTGTGGCTAATGTTGGCCTATGTTGGCCTATGTTGGCCTATGTTGGCCTCATGTTGACCTATGTTGAGCCAAAAGATCCGAAAAATGAGAACACCAAAAAACACTGTAACACGCAGGATATTTTGATGGTCGGCAGCCTATCTTGGGGCTATGTTGGCCCATCGTGGGGCTATGTTGGCCTATCTTGAGGGCAATGTGGGCCCATCTTGGGGCTATGTTGGCCCATCTTGGGGCTATGTTGGCCCATCTTGGAGCTATGTTGGCCCATCTTGGGGCTATGTTGGCCCATCTTGGGGGCTATGTTGCCCCATCTTGAGGCTATGTTGGCCCATCTTGAGGCCTATGTTGGCCCATGTTGACCCATCTGGAGCCACAAGAGCCGAAAGATGGGAAAAAAATTGGAACAGCAAAAAGCACAGTAAAACGCGGGACTTTTTAAACGGGGGGGGTCTACGGCGGCAGGGGGTGCAGCCCCTCTCTCCTACGGAGAGGAGAGAACTGCCGTACGGCAATGCCACGGCCAGGGGGCCCCTGGCCGGATAAAGGGCTGCCGCCCCCTGCCGCCGACCCCTGGACAGATCCTGATGGCTCGTTGGAACTGACCGAATGTGAGCAAGGACATATCCTGATGTCTCATCGGAGCTGACCGACGGTGAGCAAGGACATATCCGGATGTCTCATTGGAACAGACAGAAGGTGAGCAAGGACATCCTGATGTCTCATTGGAACTGAGTGACAACTAAAGACGGACGAGGCCTTCGGCCTGCGGCTGTCTCTGCCTAACGTTGCTTTCTGAACGGAAGAATCCTGGAAGAAACCAGCTCCAAATTGCAGCCTTCAAGCCTCCAAAACCTTGAGTCAACACCGGCCTTCCGCCTGCGGCGCCAAGCTTCCAAAATGCAGGCTTCCCCAGCCTGAAACAGCATGGCAGTGAGAACGGACAAGAAACAAGCGAAGTTCCTCGACACTTGCTGCTTGTAATCTCTTCTCTGACGCGCTCCCCCTGCCGTTGGCTGGGGTCGGCAGATTTTCATACATGTATTATCATAGTTTTTATCTTATAATTCTTGTATTAATGTATTAGAGCTTCCCAGAAGTCCACCTCGCACAAGCCAAAGTTACTTATCCACCTCCTCGCTGATTGCGATCTGCGTTTGCTTTTTCTCGTCGCAAGAGGGCCTGTGCTTTCACACATGGTTCATTGAACAATAAACTGAAGACGAGAAGCAGCAGTGCATGGGGTGTCGCATTCAAGCCTTTTCAGAGCGATCGTTTCGATGGACCAGGTCCAGCAAGAAGCAGTGGACACACTTCGATCAACGCTGATTGACCTGGAGTACCTGGAAGACCAGGTTAGAGGGTTTGGGACTCACTCACGTAGTGTCATGCACAAAGGAGTTTATAAAATTATAACTATTGTCTCCAAGGCAAGCTGCCTGGTTGTTGCTATCAGTACTTCGACATGTCATGAGACTCAACTCTCTGGTTACCCAAGTATATATCTGGTAACTGCCTGCGGTCAGTTCAGGAGCAACCGCTACTTCCAGCCATGTGCAAATTCGCTGCGAGCCACGCATTGACGTTGACGGTGTGGCCAAAGCACCTGGCAATTGCCCAACTTCTCAAGGACGGGGACGGGGACATAATGCAGCCAGTGCTGTTTGCCAAGCCGCTCGGCACAGGTCTTGGAGGCTCCACCTTCCTGGAAAAGGAATGACCACCACCTTGTTTTCGTGCTGCCCCGTGGCAAGCCAGCTGCTACGAAGAAGTGGCTCCAGGCCAGTTGCTGGGAAGCAAAGAGGAGACTGAGGAGACAGATGCAACAAAGTGGCATAGCAAGTTCCTAGGTTTCTGTCCAGAAATCGGCGCCACATTCATCACCATCTTGAGACTATATGGACGTGTTTAGAAGATCAGACTGATTTAATTTCAAGAGCGATGACAAGCATGTTTTGTCCCACGTCTTTGTGTGGGGTTCTTGTTTGTGATTTTGTACTCGCCGCCTCCGTCCCGCCTCCGTGCCGCCTCCGTCCCGCCTCCGCCGTCCCGCCTCTGTCCCGCCTCCTCCGCCGCCCCCTCTTTGTCACACGCCATCTTTCACACAAAACTTTTTCACACACCATCTTTCCCACACACCATCTTTCCCACACCATCTTTACGCACGCACACACGCACGCACGCACGCACGCACGCACGCACCCACCCACCCACCCACCCACCCACCCACGCACACACTAGACAAGAAAGGATCTTTGAAAAGGTCCGTCAGGAACTGAGTCCTGTAACATGCAAACCAGCCTATAAATTAGACTTCTCGCAAGCGATGTAGAGCATCCAATGTTGTCAAACGGAGTCCAAACCAGATTCCAAAAGGTTGAACCCTGAGTCTCGAAATCTAGTGATTTTAGTAGCCCGTTAATTTACTTAAATTTTCAAATTTAGTAGTAAAATTTACTAGGACCTAGTAAAGTAAATTTTGCAATTTACTAGCCATAGTAAAATTTAGTAGCCAAGTAAATAAATTTACTAGCCAAGTAAATAAATTTTACTAGCCAAGTAAATTTTTGGTGTGCTTGTTTTTTGAAACAAAATTGGTAAAACAAATCGATAGCTAGGAGCTAAACTTTTATTTATGAGACTTTACGAGAATGTTCATACACTAATTGTGACATTTGAGGATACCAGTGATGTTTTTTCATGTACTTGCGAGACTTATAGTATACTTGTGGGAATGAAGAATATATGTTTAAAACTTTGAGTTTTAGCTTGACATCTAAAAAGATTGTGGGACCTTCGGTTGTCATTTCAAAACGAATTGTAAGATTCGAAGCTAATGCAAAGGTAAGTATTAAATTCTAAAAGGCATTATTTAGATTCCAAAACTATTCGGGACTGTAGGATACTTGTGAGACGAAATCGAATTAAGTCACGTTTGTTTCCACAGCCCGAGATGATTACTAAGATAAGATAGAGGTGAAGGCAAGTCATCACATGTACAATGCATTTGATAACTTCTAGTCATTGTTTGGCTTCCACCTCACAAGTAATTTTCACATGTAAGCGTCATTGTTTGCTTTTAACCTCACAATTTATTTCCACATGGAAGTGTCATTGTTTAGTTTGAACCTCACAAGTAATTTTCAACTGTAAGTGTTATTGTGGGGTTTCAATATCACAAGTAAAATTCACATGTAGGTGTTATTCTTGGGTTTTAACATCACAAGTGATTTTCACATGTAGGTGTTATGGTTTAATTTTAACCTCACAAGTAATTTCCACATGTGAATGTAACTGTTTAGTTTTGACCTCACAAGTAATTTCTACATATGGGGATGTCTCAAAATGAGGTGTCCGTTTTTTCCCTTAAAGTAACCATTTTGGAACCAAAAACGGACACCTCATTTTGAGACATATCCATATAAAATGTACCTTAATATTTTTCAAGTCAATCAGACGATTTTTTTGGGAGAACCAACACAGCAACAACGATTTTGAAAGAAAATCGTTGAATATGGCTAAGTTCCTAAGTAGCTATGTTTCACATATTATATTTCGATGAAAATTCACATGTTGCTGACTTATATCTGCTTAGCTCAGCGCTGAACAACAACTTCCCATTGTGAAAATATCATATAGTACAAACCACAAGAAAATGAAAAACTGAAGTTGTTCAAACAATTATATGCATCTATACCTTTAAAAGTGTTACTTGTGGTGTAATTGTTTCTCAGTTTGGCGAGCATTGTTTTTCTAGTGGTGTTTTGCTTGCAACATGGCTGTTGCATTTGTTGTACTACATGTGCCCCACTTGATAATTTCATGTTGATGTAGCCACTGTTGGATATAGATTAACTGCCAAACAGATGAGGTTTTACCTCTGGCCTGTTCAATCTATCCATGGAAAAAATAAATTGATAGAACAAATCGTTCTCCGGTTTTGTTTTTACTCTACTTGTGATACTATCTTAACAATATCTTTGTGTGTTAGAGTTTTTTTTAATGAGACTAAGGCTGCCTTATTTTTTGAAGTAAACTCTCCAGAAACCAACTAAGGCTGCCACTTGTTTTGCCGTCTCTCCAGGTTAGTGACAAGCCTCAGGATGACGATGGTGCTGGGTTTTTGGAGCTGGGAAAATTTATATACAGCAAAACAGCCCACCCAAAAAATAGGAAGAAAACAATATCAGATCTATTTTGGGCCATGACCAACTGTAGCAAGTAAGGAATCATCCTTGAAAAAAAAATACAGTTTCTTTTTCAATTATTGTTTTCTGGCTGCCAAAGTCCATTTCATGTTGAACACAAAATTCAATTATGTTTTAATTTGGTTTGGCTAGTTAAGATTATTTCGTTACTCATATAATTCCTATGTATTACTTGTGTCATTGGTTTTGTGTATTTGTAGAAACAATATTTTTGAGATTTTTTCTAATGATTTTTTTAATGCATTTCTTATGCATTTCTTATGCATTTCTTATGCACTTCTTATGCACTTTGTATGCACTTTTTATGCACTTTTTAAAAGTGCATAAGAAGTACATGTACTTTGATTTAAAGTACATGCATTTCTTATGCACTTCTAAAAAGTGCATAAAGAGTGCATAAAAAGTGCATAAAGAAGTGCATAAGAAATGAATAAGAAGTGCATAAGAAATGCATAAGAAATGTAGAAGAAATGCATATAAAAAATCTGTAATTTTATGAATGGCTCATCAAATTTTATCAGAAAATTTTGAAAACCAGAAGGTTTTACTGAAAGGGAAATGCACAATCAAATCATTACACATATGTGTGAGACTCAATTATTCTCATGTATCATACTGTAGATATATCAAAAAATTGCATAAAGATATGAACCTTGGCTCAGCTCAGGTATCCTAAGTATATAACATATTTGAATAATATTTCACATGTATATCAGGCTTGCTTAATCTCATGTACCACAGGTATTTGAAGGAGTCCAAAAGTAAGACTCAACCCGTTCACAAGTAAAGTGCAAAAGAAGTGCAAAAGAAATGCATAAGGAGTGCAAAAGAATTGCATTAAAACATATATCATTCTTCTACAAAAACACAAAACCAATGACACAAGTAATACATAGGAATTATATGAGTAACTAAATAATCTTAACCAAACAAACCAAATTAAAACATACTTGAATTTTGTTCTCAACATCAAATGGACGTTGGCAGTCAGAAAACAATAATTGAAAAAGAAACTGTTTCTTTTCAAGGATGATTCCTTACTTGCTACAGTTGGTCATGGCCCAAAATAGATCTGATATTGTTTTCTTCCTATTTTTTGGGTGGGCTGTTTTGCTGTATATAAATTTTCCCAGCTCCAAAAACCCAGCACCATCGTCATCCTGAGGCTTGTCACTAACCTGGAGAGGCGGCAAAACAAGTGGCAGCCTTAGTTGGTTTCTGGAGAGTTTATTTCAAAAAAATAAGGCAGCCTTAGTCTCATTAAAAAAAACTCTAACACACAAAGATATTGTTGAGATAGTATCACAAGTAGAGTAAGAACAAAACCGGAGAAACGATTTTTTCTATCAAATTATTTTATTCCATGGATAGATTGAACAGGCCAGAGGCACATGTAGTACAACAAATGCAACAACCATGTTGCAAGCAAAACACCACAGAAAAACAATGAACGTCAAACTGAGAAACAATTACACCACAAGTACTCCACAAGTAACACGTTCAAAGAATTTCAAAGATATAAATGGGAAAGTCTCAAAATAGGAGTGCCCCAAGTTCATTTTTTTTAGTTAAATAAGAAGGCTTTGGGGCACTTGGTTATGGCACCCCTTTTCTGAGACATTCCCTAATGCATAATTGTTTGAACAACTTCAGTTTTGCATTTTCTTGTGGTTTGTACTATATGATATTTTCACAATGGGAAGTTGTTGTTCAGCGCTGAGCTAAGCAGATATAAGTCAGCAACATGTGAATGTTCATCTAAATATAAACATTTGAAACATGGCTAATTAGGAACTTAGCCATATTCGACGATTTTCTTTCAAAATCGTTGTTGCTGTGTTGTCTTCCCAAAATTCCAAAAAAAACTTCTGACTGACTTGAAAAAACATGGTTGTAAAAAATATATGTAGAAATTACTGGTGAGGTCAAAACTAAACAGTTCCATTCACATGTGGAAATTACTCGTGAAGTGAAAACTAAACCATAACACCTACATGTGAAAATTACATAAAAATACTTGTGGTGTTAAAACCCAAGAAAAAACACCTACATGTGAAATTTACGAGTGCTATTGAACCCCCACAAGAACACTTACAGTTGAAAATTACTTGTGGGGTTCAAACTAAACAATGACACTTCCATGTGGAAATAAATTGTGAGGTTAAAAGCAAACAATGACGCTTACATGCGAAAGTTACTTGTGAGGTGGAAGCCAAACAATGACTAGAAATTATCAAATGCATTGTACATGTGATGACTTGCCTTCATCTCTATCTTATCTTAGTAATCATCTCTGGCTGTGGAAACAAAAGTGACTATTGGGGACAGGGCAGAATTTGAGCTTGGAACAAAAAGAATGCTGCATTACTTGTGAAAACCATTTACTTGGGCAAGATAAAACACATTCAAAGCACGCCAATTTCTACTTGTGTCACATGAAAACAATACAAAAACAAAAGAAAACATATATTTCTTTCAAACATGGTCAACATGATCCGGAAAAAAGGTATGCACTTTATATGCGTTTCTTATGCGTTTCTATTTTTTTCAAAAAAATACTTGGCTAGTAAATT